ACTCAAACGAATCCTTCCCCCTCTCCCTTGCCTCCATTGCCTCGCACAGATCCGTTCCCACTCCGCTGCGACAGTCCGCCCTGCTTGTCTTGCGTACCTTCGTCCTGGCAGCATGGTCCCAGCACCTTGACGAATTCAAGGGTCAAGTCCTCGTTAGTGATGTCAATAAAGCTCACCTGCGCCGAGTTCTTCTCGACCTGGCCACCTCCGCTGATGCTGCGGAGCGAAAAGTGAAGTCCTCTGCCAGTTATGTTGTTAGCAAGATTGCCAGCGCGGATTTCCCCGAGGAATGGCCTGAGTTGCTACCCACTTTGCTGCAGATTATCCCCAATAGCGACGAGGCGCAATTACACGGCGCGTTGAGGGTGTTGTCGGACCTGGTCGAGAGCGGATTTAGCGAGGAGCAGTTTTTCACAGTGGCACGGGAGCTCGTGTCGACTGTCTTTGCTGTCGCGACGAACCCCGCTCGGAAACCCGTGCTGCGCGCCTTGGCCGTCTCGGTATTTAGGGCTTGTTTTGATACCTTGGAAATGGTCATTGAGCAACATAAGGTTGCTATTAAGCAATTTCTGGACGAGGCGTTGAATGGTTGGTCACCATTTTTCCTTGCAACTATGAAGGTGCCGCTGCCGCCGCCCCCTAGTGAGGAAGATGAGGCCGATGATGCTCAGGGTTCAGAGGAGTGGAGGGGGGTGATTGCGTTGAAGTTGCAGGTCGTTAAGGTATTTTTGCCATTGCCCTCCTTCGGTTTACTATTTATTGAACTAACATACGTGACTTTAAAGACCTTAATGAAAATATGCGCTGTATTCCCGGCACTCCTTACTTCGCAGAGCACTGTACTTTTTAGTTCTGTTTGGGATGAACTATCCACCATCCAAAATGCGTATCAGGAACTATTTATCATGGACGAACGCCAAGGCCGGCTAGAGGATGCGGATGGACTTCCATATACCCTCGACTTCTTGGTTTTGGAAGAACTAGACCTTATGCAAGTGCTACTTAGGGCTCCCCCGGTTAAAGCGGAGCTACACAGCCAACTGCAGACCGCAGGGAGTGCTGCAAGTACTTCTGGCTGGTTGCCAGAGGTTATGAAACTGGTTGTATCCTATGCGCAGATTACTACGGAGGAAGAAGGGCTGTGGGGACATCGATGTGAATCTGTTCCTGTCGGAGGAAACGTCGCTCACCGCAAATTACACTCCTCGGACCTGTGGTGGGGATTTGGTAATAAAGCTTGGTGAATGGCTGAAGGGGACTACAGTAGATGCATTGTTGGTTTATGCGAATGCACTTTTCTCAGACTCGACATCGTATGATCCTTTTCAATTTCACCATCTTTCTTTTATTTCTCGCTTAATTCTGACAATTTTGCTTCCAGTTGGAAACTACGCGAAGCTGCCCTTTTCATTCTCAATCAGCTTCTTCGCGACTTCAACGACGTAGACCAGCAGATTTCCCTAGAGGCAGCTAAAGGATCTAACGAGTTCGTTCGCTTTTGCATGACACAGGAAGACGTCTTCCTTCGAGCCCGTGGCTACCTCGTCGCTGGAATAATTGCAAAGACAGCGGGCGAAGAATTCCATCAGACGGCATTATCATATCTCGAGGCGTCCATCAAGGCCATCGCTGAGGACCCCTCTGAAGTCGTCCAAGTATCCTGCATCCGCGTCCTGCAGGATTTCTTTCCCGCACTCCCATCCTCCATGGCCAAACCCCTACAAATCCCCGCTATCTCAACCGTGTCCGACTTCATCTCCTCCCGCGACCTGCGAGAAATGATAGACAGCGATGATCTTAAATTTACCCTCCTCGACACGCTCCGAGATACTATCATGGTCGATCCCGGCATCGTCCTCTCCTCCATTGCCCTCGACGTCCTCTTCAACATCGCTAGTAGCGGCGCCAGTAACTTCCAGCTCGCCACAATTGTGACAGAAACCTTCGAAGACGTTGTCCAATACATCTCTCGACAGGGTCCAGAAGCATACATCGGCCTCTGCGAAAAAGTGCTCCCATCCCTCTCTGGCGCCATTGATGGAAGCACGACCCAAGAAAACGCCCTGACAACACTAGCGGCAGACCTCATCCGCGCCCTGACGGAACACGGCCTCTCCCCGCTCCCCAATGGCCTCGTAGCAACAATAATGCCAAAACTAAACCGCCTCCTTCTCAGCTCTAAAGAGGGCAACCTCCTCCCCGCCGCCACCATTGCCGTGAAAAACATGCTCCAACACGACTCCCAGCAATTTCTAACCTGGCAAGATCCGCAAACAGGTAAGGGCGCCGTCGAAGTCGTGTTAATCATCATCGACCACCTCCTCAGCCAATCCGTAGATGACAACGCAGCTGAAGAAGTGGGCGGGCTGGCTGCTGAACTAGTCGAGAAAGCTGGCGCTGAGAAATTGGGGCCATATTTAACCCAACTTCTTCGCGCGGTTGCTCAACGCCTCGCCACAGCGCAAAAGGCGCAGTTTATCCAATCGCTCATCCTCGTCTTTGCGCGATTATCCCTCATCAGTCCGGGGGAGGTAGTCGATTTCCTCTCCACGCTGACGATCGATGGCGAATCGGGACTGACGGTTGTGTTCTCCAAGTGGCTTGAGAACAGCATAAATTTCGCTGGGTACGATGAGATACGGCAGAACGTTGTTGCATTGGCGAAGATTTATCAACTAGATGACCCGCGCGTGGCGCAGGTGCAGGTTAAGGGGGAACTGATCATCCAGGATACGGGGAGGATCAAGACGCGCTCGCAGTCGCGCAGGGATCCGGACCAGTATACCATTGTCCCTGCGCCTTTGAAGATCATTAAAGTTCTGGCTGAGGAGCTTGTGTCAGCGGCGGGGACCAGGGAGATGGGTGCTGCGGGTGCCGCTGCTGTTGCGGCTGGTGCTGGTGGAGCGGGAGGGAATCTTGATGAGACGGATAGTGATGGTGAGAATGATGACTGGGAGGATATTCCACCATCTGGGCAAGGGGTGCTTGATTTGGGGCTTGGGATTACGAAGCAGGAACTTATGGGTTATATTTGTGAGGATGGGGCTAGGGGTGTTGCGGTTAGAGAGAGAGATGATGAGACGTTGGCTTTTTTGATGGAGTTTTTCAGGGAGGTTGCTGGGACGTCAAGATTTCAGGAGATGTTTGTGCAATTGAGTCCGAGGGAACAGGAGGCTTTGAGGAGTTTGGGGTAGTGTAATTGCGTTGGGTCGTATGAGGCGATGTCAGTGCCGATGATGCTGACGTTGCCGTTGGTGGGCTGGTTATGAGGGAGATGATTTCTTCTCTTCTTTTCTCTATCTCTTTTTCTCTTTCTCTCTTTCTCTCTTTCACTCTTTCTCTCGATTTTTTTTTTTTTTTTTTTTTCATTTGTGAATTGTTAAAATACAATAAATGAGTTAGATGAGAAAAGATTTTTATTGACATTTTCCTTTCTGTATTTAAAATGAGAATTTATTTAAATGAAGAATATTATTATTATTATTATTATTATTATTTATTTTAAATATATGTAATTGAAAATTATAATATTTATCTATTTATATTAAAATTTAACTATTTTATAAATTTAATTTATAAGTACAAATAATCATATATAATTATAGAATTTTAATTTACATTAAAATAATATTTAAATAAACATAGAGTAGGAATAAATAAACATATAGTAGAAATAATCAAAATAATAAAATTATAAAACAAAATAGAAAAAATATTTTAAAGATAGTAAAATAATAATAGTAATTAGATTAACAATTTACTTTATTTTCATTGAAGATTTACTCTTTGAAAATATATTTATTTAAAAAATTTTTCTTCTTATTTTACTTCTAGATAAAGATTTGATTTTTTTTCTTTTAATAGATGATTTATTTCTTTAGTTTTCTTTGAAGATTTTATTCTTTTTACTTTGTAAATAAAAAAATAAATTTAAACTGAGGATATATGACTTTTTTGTAAAATTTTTACATTTTGTTAGGCTCAGCGTCCGACCGAGCCCGACCGAAGGCCGGTGCCCGGTTAGACTCAACGTCGGATTAAGCTCGGCGCCCGATTAGGCCTAACCCACATCACGTGACCATGCGACCATGCGGGTCGCTCGATTAGGCCTAATCCATATCACGTGACCACACGACCATGCAGGTGGTTATAATCCACACAGGCCCCCAGCACCCCCTTTCATCCCATCAAGCTTAGTATTTCATTATATAGCAGTTAGCAACACAGAGAGTCTTTCTTCTTATGCAGCTCACATTTGCTCTCTAACACAATACTAAGCTTCCCTTCTACCTTCTCACTCAGGTTTCAGCAGAAAACTTGAGTATCTTAGTTGAATTAGAATCTGCTAGTTCAGAGTCTGACAACATGTCAGATCAACTGCTAAGACAACAGCACTGTTGAAGACAACAGCTCAATCCAACATCAGATGGTCACCACAGGCTCTCAATCCTCTGAAAGGGGCTGAAAGGACTGGTGATATCTCATAATAAGATCAACTGACCAATCACACATCTCAATTGAGAAATTCAGAGAGGCAATCCACTCAGACAGTGATCATGTTTATAATGAGTTGATGATGATCTTCAATGACATCTTTGACAATGAAAAAACATTAAGAGATACAGTCACACATCTGAGAATGGAATGAGACAATACTACTAATCAGGTCACTGTCAAGCAAAGTTAGATTGATGAGCTAATTGCTGAACATGATGAACTTAGTCACATTCTGATTCACATGACAGTCAGCAATCAAGCAGCAAGTCAAGACATCACTCTCTCTGAGACTGCCAGAAGGTCTGTCAAGATTGATGACTCAAAACATCTCACTGACAGCAAGAAGCTGAAATTTGAACACTGACTCTTCTGAATGAAGAACAAGCTCCAGGAGAATGTCAATCACTATTCTATCAAACACATGAGGATAGTGTACATTGAAAACTAAACTGATGAGGACACAGCACATCACATTGCACCTCATATGGAAGAGGACCACTCCAAGCAATATTAAATCACAGAAGAGATGTTTGAGCATCTCAAGTCAATATATGAGAATGCTAACAAGCTGCAAAATATCAAGAGTAATTATCACAAGCTGATTATATGCAATGAGAATAATTATCATGAATTTGTCACAAAATTTTTACATCTGACAGAGAAGGTCAAGATTGTCAGAGAGGACTATAAGACAGACTTCAATGACAAGCTATTCTTTGATCTTCAGAAGATGATAGCAGTAGTCAATGTGATCACTGATACATATGCTGAGTTTCAGAAAATCTGTGCACAGGCAGCTCACACTCTTCAGACAATTAATGCCACTTAGAAATCAAAGAGCTCACAGGAAAATGAGTCTAATATCTTCAAGCAGAACACTCTGTGGACTGTCAACAGTCAAACATTCTTCAGCATCTCTACAACAAAATCCTCTACTGTGAAGAAGGCCTTGAGCTCTTGTCTGAATATTCAGTGCTACTACTGTAAGAAAAAAGATCACATTGTCAGGAACTGCCCTGCAAAGCAGAAGTCTCAGCAGGTGATTGCTGAGCTCACAGAGAATGATGTCTCTGAGTCTTCAGCAGATTCAGAAAAAGAGTGAGTCTGAGAGAAGACTTCATCTCAGATAGTTCAATAGTCTGTAAGAGATTTGAGATGAAGGACTTGATTGAGAGGAAAAGCTTTAATGTATCAATCAAATTAGCCTACAATGGAATTGCTACTTCTACAAATTCTCTTGCTGATACTGAAGCAAATGAAGTGAATTTTATTGATATCTGATATGCCATAGAATTGGCAAGATTCTTTGATAGGAAGTTTCAAGAACTATTATTCAAATGTCATATGAAGGGATACAATGACACCCTCAGCAGAGTGATAAACTGCACATTGACTCTAAACCTCTGGGTGGATGGTCAGAGATTTCAGAATGTCCCTCTGCTGATAACAGATCTAGGCCAGCACCCTGTCATCCTGGGACAGAAGTGATTGACAGCACAGTATATATGACTTGATGTTAAAAATCAACATCTGGTTTGACTGAGTGAACAGTCTATCTCTGAACAGATGGTGAAGCTGATGTTGAAGATAGTACCCTGGTCAGTACTGAAGCACTCAGACCTCAAGCCTGAGCATCAGATGAATGTGAAATGAAGAGAGATCAAGCTGAATGAGGAGATCAGACAGGAGCATCAGACTCAGCTCTGCAGATTGAAAGAGACCAGCTCAGTCATGATGCCTGAGACAAGGCAGAGACTGATCTGGAAGAAGACAGCACTACAGATAATGAATATGAACTTCATTGAGACTGCTTCCTTCCATGATTATATGAAGAATAAGAAGTCAACAGTCTTCATAATCAGTCTGTATGAAATTGATAAACAGCTTGAGAAGAAGTGAGATTTAGTGAAAGCTGAGGATGAGTCTGATGAGAAGCTGATCAGCAACTTACCAGAATGATTGAAAGGCCAGAAGGACTGCTTCTCAAAGAAAGCATCAGATGAACTGCTCCTTCTACAGAAGAATGTTGATTTTAAAATAGAGCTTCAGTCTGATATTGACCTCACCCAGGGCATTGGACATACACCTCTATATAAGATGAATCTAGAGGAACTAGAGGCAGTGAAGACCTATCTTGAAGTCAACTTAGCAAAGGGTTTCATCATCTCAAGTTCAGTCCTCTACACCTCCTCAATTCTGATTGTCTGTAGTGGGAAGAAACTACAATTCTGTGTTGACTTTTACAAGCTGAATGCTATAATCAAACAAGATCAGTATCCCTTGCCCCTGATAGATGAGCTGATGAACCAACTCAATGAGGTGAAATACTTTACAAAGTTGGACATTTGGCAGAGGTTCCATCACATCTGAATGGACTCTGAGTCTGAGGACCTGACCACCTTTAGAACCTGCTATGAGATCTATAAATATCAAGTGATCCTCTTTGATCTTATAAATGCCTCTGCCTGCTTTCAATGATTTGTTAACAGTATCTTCTTTGACTATCTGGACAAGTTTATGACAGCATTTATGGATGATCTTCTAATCTATAGCAAGAATCTGAAGGAGCACAAACAGCAGATAAACTCAGTGCTAGACTGACTAAAGACAGTGGGTTTGCAAGCCAGCATTCAGAAATGTGAGTTTGCAGTCCAGAGGACAAAATATCTAGAGTTCATTATCAGTACAGAAGGAATTGAGGCAGACTCAGAGAAGACAGCTGTCATTATGAGATGACAGGTTCTCATCACAGTCAAAGAAGTTCAGTTATTTCTAGAATTTGACAATTTCTACTGACAATTCATAAGGAACTACAGCTGAATTGCAAAGTCACTGTATCAATTGACAAAGAAGACTACTTCATTTGTGTGAACATCAGAATGCAAATCAGTCTTTGAAAAATTGAAGAGACAGCTGATGGAGACTTCAACACTGTATTACTATGACTCTGAGCAGAAGACTTATATTGAGACTGACATCTCTGACAAAGTAGTGACTAGGGTACTAAGTCAAAGATTTGAAAATGATCTTTGACACTCAGTAGTCTTCTATTCAAAGACAATGAATGATGCAGAGCTTAATTATGAAGTTCATGATAAGAAATGCTGACAGTAGTTCAGATCTTACAAGAATGATGAACAGAGCTTGAGAGACTACAACAGGAGAAATGATTCAAGATTCTCACTGATCATTGTGCACTGAAATACTTCATGACTATCAAGAAGCTGAATACATGTCAAGTCTACTGAGCAGAGTTCCTCTCTCATTTCTACTTTGAGATCAAGTATTGACCAGGCAAGGTCAACCTGCTAGCAGACACACTGAGCAGGTCTGAGTAGATTAGAAGGCAACAGAACAGCTGTATGCAGATTCTCCTAGAATCAGAGACTCTCAACCCCCAGATCACTCTCTCTACAGACATTGCTAGCATCAACTTCTCAGAGAAAGAGAGCATTGCTGAATGCATAGTGTCTCTAAACAAGACAGTCACCTCAATTGAGCCTCTGCAGCAGCAGGCAGATGATGAGAATAGTCCCTATACAATGAAGAACAATGTGCTACAGTACAATGAAAGACTAGTGATGCCTGTTTAGAAAAAAAAAACTCTGATAGTCAAGCTACTGTAGAAAATTCATGATTAAGCTTCAACAGCACATTCTGAAGAACAAAAGACCCTGACTCTGATGCAATCACATTATTGATGAATCACCTGGTGAACAGATGTCCTACACTATATTCAGAACTGCCATGTGTGCCAGATCAGTAAAATTTCAAGAGATAAGACTTCTGATTTGCTAAAGTCATTATCAATACCAGAACAGGCATGACAGCATATTGCAATGAACTTCATGGACATGCTGAAAAGCAAAACAGATTATGATGTCATTTTGATCATAGTATATCAGCTAAGCAAGAAGACAATCTTCATTTCAATCATCTGAGAAGTTACAGCTTAGGAGCTGACTCAACTATTCATTCAATTCTACTATTCATACAATGAGGTGTCTGACTCAATTGTCTCTAACCAAGACCCTCAGTTCATATCAAGCTTTTGAGATGAGTTTACACAGATTCTGAGCATAAAACTGAAACTCTCAACAGCACATCATGCACAAACTGATAGACAGACAGAAGTGATGAATCAATACATTGCCACTCATCTTCACTTCTATGTCAGTTACTATCAAGACAACTGAGATGAGTGACTGCTCATTATAGATTATGTCTCCACAGCTATCTCAAACACTTTCATAGAGATCTCTTTCTTCCTCACAGCAAATGAATATGAACTCTGAATGTCATTTGACTGACAATCACTGATGAAGAAATTGAATATGAATGAGAAAAGAAATTGAGAAGCAGCAAGAAGCTTCATTCACTGAATGAGAGAGATCTGAAATCAGATGAGTAAAGGCATAAAGACAGCACAGAAACAGATGAAGAGACAGACTGACAAGCATCATCAAGAGTCTGACTTTGCAGTAGAAGATTTTGTTTATCTAACATTGAAATCATACAAGATGAATTGATCAAGCTGTAAACTGACAGAGCAGAATGTCAGTCTCTTCAGAATTCTGAAAAAGATGGGCAATGCCTACAAACTGAACCTTCTCATAACAATGAAGATTCATTCAATCTTCTCCTCAGACAAGCTATGCAAGGACTTCAGAGATCCTCTACCTGATCAGACTATCAGATCACCAGACCCAATTGAAATAGATGATGAGAATGAATGAGAAATAGATTGTATACTGGCCAGTAGAATAAGCTGGAGCAAGCTGCAGTATCAGATGCACTGAAAGGGGTTTGATGAGGATTCTTCATGATACCCCACTCACAACTTCAAAGAATCACCACATGCCATATGTGACTTCCATGAGGCTAACTCTACAAAAGCTGGACTCCCAAGGCAACTAGATGAGTGGCTGAAGGCATGGGAGACAGACAGCTACCTGAAGGATGAGGTTGATGACGACCTACCGGCATGAGGACATGCCTGCCCCTAGACCGGGGGGTGATGTTAGGCTCAGCGTCCGACCGAGCCCGACCGAAGGCCGGTGCCCGGTTAGACTTGACGTCAGATTAAGCTCGGCGCCCGATTAGGCCTAACCCACATCACGTGACCATGCGACCATGCGGGTCGCTCGATTAGGCCTAATCCATATCATGTGATCACATGACCATGCAGGTGGTTATAATCCACGCAGGCCCCCAGCACCCCCTTTCATCCCATCAAGCTTAGTATTTCGTTATATAGCAGTTAGCAACGCAGAGAGTCTTTCTTCTTATGCAGCTTGCATTCGCTCCCTAACACATTTAACAATAATATGAGAGTATGATTTATTCTCAATTTTATAAATAAAATAAATATGATGTTTTGTGTGATGATGTAGAATGAATGAGCTTCATTCAGCCTTCTCAACAGCATAAGATCATGAGCTGAGATAATCAGTAATCACAACTGTCTAGGCATTGGCATAGCAATCAACCCCACAATTACCTCACATATGAATAATATGTAAATGTGGAAAATGGCACTAAGGAAAAGAGCTATATAAACAGAGCCTTCTCTGAACTCATCTCTTAGAAATCATCTTAGTATTCATCTAGATAATTTATCTAGCTGACAATCAAACATTTGTTTCATCTGCATCTAGATTGAAACTGTGATATAATACTAAGATCAATAACTTTTCTTGCTTTTTTTAAAACAGGTTTTTTATATAAAAAACCTTTGAGAATTCTTTCTTACTTTTATTTTGAACATTAAATTTAATATTTAGATCTATTTCACTTTTACTTCTCTATCTCATTCACATTAAATTAATAAAGTTAAAGCTAATTTTGATATTTTAACTAATTTTATTATAGTCATTTATTTCTGATTTTCAGACTGTAGAAGCTTTGTGTAGCTGTAGTACTCACTACTAATAATGATTTTAGTAGAGTATATAGTTTCATTGTAAAATTAGTCTTATTAAAGTTATATATATAATCTTTGATAGAATTTTATACTCAGTAATTGTAATTTTAAAAATCTTAAATCAAGTTTGAATAATTTTTATATTCTCATACTTAGCTTAATTATGAATATAGTATTTG